AAACGAAATCATCCGATAATATTGATATCAAGATTATAGGGCAGTCGAAAAGTTATTTCTATTTCTATAAGAAAAGAGATACGCGCACTGAAGAGTTTGGAAAGATTCCATTTTGAAAAGTGACAATGTATTGTCGAAAGCGCATCGAAAGATGAGAATCTGGGAAAATCGATAGAATTTCAAAGCAAGCATCCCTACTATTATTCGAACAGGCTGCGAAACCGCTCGCTCGCATTATTCACAAATTCTGCGCGAAGAAATCCTAGAGTCGAGTGAAGTTGATATCAAAAATTTAGATTTTTAAAACTTCAAATTTAATAATAATTTAATAATAATAAAATTATATTTAATATATACATATATTTACATCAGAATTCCTTTATTTAAAATGGATTCATAACAATGTTTAATATTATCAGTAGTTTTAAATATTTAATGTTCTATGTTCTATTAAATACTATTTATGCTTTGTATTAAAAAATGTAGAAGAGATAAAGATGATTCTGTCTCTTTATCACTCAAAGTACATTTAAGTTGATATAAAAGGTTTATCTTTTTTTTATGAAGCTCTATATTAAACAAAGTTAAAACTGAACTACTTTGAAAAGAAGAGTAAAATATTTCTTTTTAAATAAAACACAAAGTACATGGAAGTCCATGGCTTCGATTTTGCTGAAACTTTTAACTCTTTTTTTGAGTGATACAACGAACCTTTTAGATAAATTTAATAGATATATCTGTGAAAAATAGTGTGTTCGCATTATATATCTTTTTTTTTACTCTCTTTTTTTATTTATTTCAAATAATAGTGAAATGTACATGGAAAAAAACAATTTTGTTAAAGTATCTTAAAATTTAGGTCGATACAAATCTATATCGAAAATAATTTTGTTTTTTGGATCATTAAAATAATTATATAGAATACTTAACTTAATGACAATGCCGTGCTGCAAAAAATTTTGACATTTTAGTAACTAGTTTGAATATTCTACGTAATTATTTTGATGGATATCAATAAAATTATTTTCAAATCTATATGTAAATCTATAGAAAATTTTTAGATATTTCAGCAAAACCGTCCTTTTCGTGTGTATCCAAAATTTGATAATTATCACTGTAAAAATCGCGAAATCATCTTATATTGCACCTTGATAAAATTCTCATGTTCCCTTGTTTTATTCGCGAAATAATAAAAATATGTATGTCATCGCGAGTAGATAAAACACGATGACAAGTGTATCAAAATTCTCAATATTGACTACTGATCGTATCGCTGTAGCGCGAAAACGATGACAGGCAAAAAGCGAACGTTTCTGAAATATCGTGATGAACTGCCGATGAAATTTACAGAAAAGTGGTTATCGCGATCGGCGAAAGTTCTCGTAAACGTTCCGATGAAGCGCGTAACATCTACTTCCGCCCGGCGAAACCAATTTTACTTTGAAGCTCCAAGTCACGCGGACAGGCGTCGATCAACGGAAATAGAATATATCGATTTCTTGTCTGGCTGAAATACTTTGCGTTTATACTTCTAACGCTACAAAAGATGCTTCAGTATAAGTTCTCTTTTTAAATCGTTTATCGCTGTTCTGCAGCGATTCACTATCAAGTGACATCATTATAGATCTATTTCTGACAAACAGCTTTTTCCGCTTTACGTACATATATTTATACATATAAAATACACTCGGGATTTTAACACGAAAAACATTATAAGTATTAAAAAAAGCATGGTATAACCTACAAACCGTTATTATTGCATGATTAAATATTCTGAAAGTTCATAAACATGATATGTAAAATAACCCATTTCCAGTGCATATAATTCTAATGCTTCACAAATCTAATAAAATTTTTATTATCGAAAAACTGTAATTAAAGTATTTAACAACAATGTTTTTAATACTTAAAATAAATAATTAATTACTGTCTTTCAATATATTAAATTGACTAATATCAAAATATGTCTTCGACAAATACGGACGGGATTGACGGGAATCGACGGGAATCGATTTCTTTCCTTATTAAATGGAAATATATAGGAATTCTTACCATGACGAGTATGTTAGCACCAGATGGCTTGACCTGTGTGCGAAAGTAATTGTGGGTGTCCACGATCTTTTGCCGTATCTTGCTGCTAGTGGTCCTTATTAAATTGATGGGGACTCTGTCACCGTACAATCGTGGTGCTGAAAACAAAAAGAAAATATTTCCTTTCAATAACCGACATCTGCCACCGTCGAAGGCCTGAGTCCAATACAGCTGTGACTACTCATTTCCTCTTTGCGAGAGCAGCAAAGAGAAAATCTTGATCAGATCTTGCCGCAAGAGTGAAGATAATAGCGTATTTTGCTCTCCAACAAAATATGTCAATCAAGATATAAAGAAATATGAGAATAAGAAAGAAAAAAAAGAGGATTCCATGTAACTGGATGCGGAAATTCATATTTGTGTCATGATGTACTTTTTATTGTAACTTCCTGTTTGTTCGCGACTTGTCATAAGGTTTCCAATCATTTCGGAAATTACTCGTATATCCAGTTGAAAAACGGAAAGTTTCGATGCTATTCCTGCTAACATGTGATATCTTTTTGAATTGTTTGATGATATCTAAATGTCTTATTGTTTCCGTAAAAGTTGAATATGTTCTTCGTTTTTTATTATCCAGATAGAAGTATCGAGAATTTATCGTACAATTTTAGATAGCAGTATTGTGTGTTCAGAGCAATATTTTTGAGCAATCACAGATATCTTTCGAGATCGGCTTACCGTTGTTATGCGGTGAAACAAGCAATAGTAGTTTTCTTCAATCACGATGTGAAGTGATTCTCCGCATTCTTGTCCCGATCAAAATCGACTTTCTGCCTGCTCGTGATATATCAAGTAGCTCTCCGATCCTTTCAGGGACTATCATATAGGAATGTCCATGATAGGATAACGGTGAAAACGGAAACGTTATGATCGAATATTTTTTCAGACAGTTACGTGATACGTTCTTCGTATTCTGTATACAAAAGCTTACCTTACAAAGTTCCGTTTCTCAGATATAGAATTCAGAATGCGCAAATATAGCTAAGTCGCGATAATTGTAATTAATGAAAGTAATTCATTGAAAGAGATAAACCATTCTCTTCACATAAATGTGATTTTTATTTGAGGAATAATATTTTCCTTATAACTGCTCATATAGTTACATTTATGTTAAATTTAATACATTTTATGTGTTCCAAATAGTTCAAATTTCTATATTAATTTAATACAAAAAATGAAAATGTTAGACATTAATGTAAATAATACGATGTAAAAAGTTAATAAAAATATATTACTGACAAAGTTTAGAAGCAAATTGTGAAAACATTTTAATAAAATTAGTATTATGATAAGTTAAATAAACGTTTGTTTTATTTTTTTATTTTCTAATCTAATCTAATGTAAGAATCTAATGTTTTAAAATTATATTATTTTTACATTATTTTTTCATGCTCATAAATGTTATTTTAATGCTAAGAAATATTAAATATCAGTTTAACATAAAATATTCAAATAACACAATTACATTATATTTAAACTTAAATTAACACTCGGATACGTTAAAAATCCAAAATTTTAACAAAGATCGGTTTCAATACAAATATAAAATAATTTTTCTATGTATGAAAATTATTTATATAAAACTATAAAAACAATATTTACTGGGCTTGCTTCTGTGGATTTTTCGTGGTACAGCAGCTGGCAGCGCCAAAGCCACCAAGACAATTATCCAAAGCCACTTCATTGTCTGCATATATGAGCTGAAACATGAAATGAAGCCGTTTATATTCCAAGTGTTCTTACTACTAAATTCTGTTCTATTAATATACAAGGCGCAAAATTATTTAAACAAGAAAAATTACATTCTAAAACTTGGAAAGTATAGTGAACATTAAAAAATAAACTGAAAATACCTTTAGAACTGTAAGACATCTTTCTTCATGCATTATATTACGAGCAATTGATATTATACAATTGTATTCGCAAATTTATTCGTTTGTCTTGATTATTTATTCGTTCATTAACTTTATTTTTAACGTAATACTTAATTCCCAAAAGATAATGTTGAAAATAAAAAAAAATATCAGAGAATAAGTTCCAATGTTTTGCTAAAGGAAAATCGACTTCGAATCGGTCAAAGAAATCACAAACGAAGTTTGTACATGAGTTTTTTATCTCCTCCGAATTGTATTTCGATCAATCTTTTTCTCCCCGTTCTTGTTAGTCATTCGGTCGTCGAACTTTTCCAGCACAGCGTACATCCTCATGTGCGCAGCCTCAGTCGAGCGACACGACATTTGCACCTGTGTGCGGCTCATTAATCACTATTCGCCTCGTCAACGGCAAATTTCATTATTTCTCGCCCGCGAAACTGTGTGTCCACGAGCGTAGCGTTATCAACCCCGCTATCAACCCTGACAACGCCGCCGCTATCATCAATAGCACGACGCCCTTCGCGGTGGTAAACGTCAAAGGCAAATGGCACGTACGAAGACAGATTACGCTGAACGTTATTTGCGTTCATGCAATGGCTCACCAAACGAACAAAATTCCTCGATTTTCTTTTTAATTAGTTCACTAGACAACAATGAAATACTTTCAATAAGACTTGATAGTGTTTCTAATTCAATTCTCAATATAATTTTACATTTGAAGCGCTGATAGTTAGAATATTTGTTAAATATTTTTTATTACTTATTGTTAGTATACATTAGTAAAAATCAATAAGAAATATTGTATTAAGTAGCAATTATCCATATTCTTACATTCTATAATTAATTTACTTAAATTGATAATGAATAATTGATGATAAATTATATGAATAATATAATTTTGATAAATTTAATTCTCATAAATTATTCTTTAATTATCGGAAATTATATGAACATTTTCAAAAGGTCTATAAAGATTAATTAAAATTTTTTATACTTATATAAATATCCACTCAAGCTTTTAATATAAGTATTATTTAAACATATAAAAATTACTGAAATATATGTATACTTATGTATAGTCAAATAATATTATGTTCTCTTTAATACATTCTCTTTAATAACGAGTCTTTTTAGATGATGAAACCGAAGTTTGCCTTCTTCTGTTCTATCTACTGCGAAAACTTATAGAACTTTGAAATATCAAAGAAATGCAAAAAGGTTCGACCAAGCTGAACGACATCAAAGACACATTTTATTTCCTCAACCCTGCACACACTTACGTCCGCCACTTTTCATTTTCTCTTTTAGAATATCCTCCGTTTTCCGACCGAAAGATATTCCGATTCTCTCTCTTCTAGCTTCTCTCTCTTGTAAACGAAACGTATGCAAAATAGTTGAAGACAGATGATATGGATATTTCTCGGCATGTTTCTCGCGTTGATTAGATTTTGATCACCTAATTTTGAAATTGACATAAGAAAAACGTAAGACATCCGCTCTCATTCCGTTTGACGACTCGAAAGACAAGAATTAATAACAAAGCTTTTAAATTTTTCTTAATTAAATATTGTCACATTGTATTGTCTAATTATAAATTTTAATTTGTCTTTATAGTATTTAACAAATTTTAATAATTTTATTTGATTTTAAAGGTATATAAAATTATATTATATTAATTTGTATCATTTCATCGATATTATGTCAAAAAATTGAATATACGTAGAATGCATAGAAATACGACTGACGATATCTTTTAAATATACATACAGTCCGGATATTGGATTTGTCCGAATAAAGACAGAGTTTCTATGAATATCCAGTGCATTAATATCTGAAATCCTCGGAAAGTACTCGTGGTTTCTCGGGATTCCGAGAAACGCTAATGCCAACTCACCAAACATTTAGAATTTCGTACAGGCTATTGCTATTTGCTTCGACATGCTAAGCATACGGCGTGGAATCCAAGTCGTAATAACTATTTGCAATTTTGTTGGCCGCGTTGACCAGTTATAGTATACATGTTTGAGGAACGACAAAACGTCAAAAGTGGTAATAGAGTTTCTCTAATTCAGGAATTTCTCAAAAGCAACGAATTTGTCGTAAATGTCCATGATTTTTATAACAATTGTCTTTTAGTTTACAACGCCGCTTCGTGAAATTTTATTTTTTAAATTCTTTCATTTATATCAATTTTTATTTTAACAAGTCTCATTAAAAATCTCAGGCGACTCTTTATATCTATATATTATCACAGAAACTATATTTCTTAAATAAATAATATAAGAAAAAGAATTCTTTATTAAACAACTTTTTTACGATCTATCGTTTTATGATTCGGTTGCAAGTGCATTTTGCATACGAAAGTGCGAAATAAAAGTTAAATGAACTGTTATAAAAAGTGCAAACAAAGTGTATATACGAGCTTATAATTAAAATCTACTATTAAATTAATTTTTGCTGTCAGTTATAAATTTCATCCCTATGCTGTAGAAGTTATATACATATAGTAAGTTAAACTTTATATCAATATAAAACTTAACATTAACATATAGTAAGTTAAGCATTATATTGTGTAAACATTTTCTTTCTCTTTCTCTTTCTTTCTTCGATGTTTAAGATTTGTATGTACCTTGGCATTTTTCAAAACCGTATGTAACAGTACAAACACACTCTTTTGTCGAAACACACGTGTAGTGCTCGCGGCTCGTCCTCGAGGGTTAAAAGGACATGATAGTGCCATAGTACTACCACATATTCTACATTTATTGCACGTTTGATGTGCATCATAGCGTAGATGGATAGTTTATTCTAATCCGAGTATGCAGTACGCCTTTATAGCGCAACGCTAGTGGTAGAAGCGAAGTGAGGTCAGCCGTGTCTGATCACAATCGTCGTTTTTCACTGAAATCATTCACAAATATGTTATAGCTTAATCTAGCCTGTCTCTTTTATTTCTTTATTATTATTTATTTCATAAGCATCTACCTACCTATAAATTTATAATATAAGTTTAAAGACAATAGTTTAAAAAAATATACAATAAATTGAATATGGACATCGTAGTATAAGAGACTAGTATATAAAAATATTAAAAGTGTTGTTTTTTTTAAATAAAATTAAGATTAAATTACTTTTCGGCGTTTTTAACTAATTTTTTGTACTAATGGATGATGAAAAATTAATAAGGCTAACGACTGCTATAAAAAATGATTCTTTTGAACGTGAGTTAGTTATTGCGAGATTCATTACACTCCACTGTTACATGAGGAATAAAGGAGCTAACGCTCTTTTCATCAGGAGTCAAAAGCGGCAGTTCGTCAATAATTCAGAGGAAATTTCCCGCCGAGGATAAGCCTGACAGCAACCGCATTTAATTTGCGACAAAGTCCATGGTCGACGAAGTAGTGTGAGACGATGACGCGCGCGTTACCATGTGAAACATGCAATGCGTAATATTGGCCGCGTGTAAATTGCTCATAAATATTTTCACTTAATTTCGTAAATCAAAAGTGCGACGCGCGGATAACAACGGCTTCGGTAAGTCCCTCGGTAACTCCCGTTCATAATTAAAATCATAATTGCGAAGTAGCTAGTCTCATCTAACTTCTCGTTTCGGGACATCGCGGTTCTGAATTTAGTGCCATTCAGTGCTTTGTTGTCATGTAATAATTCTCGATATTTGTGTGCTAATAAAAAATATATACTAATATAACACAATTTAACATCTAATCAGTGATGAGCAAATTATTTATACATAGTGTTTGGAAAATAATGATAAATTTTTGCACAGGGGCAGAATGGACTAAACTGAAGAAAAGTCTTCTACCAGTCTTTTGCAATTTTCGCAATAGTTAATAAGATATTAATTGCTAAAAATTGCCGAAAATTGGTCTTTAATAATTTTTTATTCAAATAGTATCAACTTTACAAAAAAACTACAAGGAAAAAAATTGTTTATTTTCTTCTCAGAGAGTTCTAAGAATTTTTTTAGAATTTTTTTCAGAATTTTTTAATACCGTATTTTCTCATGTTAAAATGTATTTTCTCATGATAAAAATGAAAAAATGCAGTACTAAAAAGTTGATAAAAAATTCTGAAAAAATTCGTAAAGTTCTATGAGAAGAAAATAAACAATTAAAATAGAGGACTTTTCTTTTCAGTTTAGTGCATTTTGCTCTTATGTGAAATATTTATCATTATTTTTCAAATACCTTGTATATTTATTAATTGACAAATACAGATAAATACAAAATAAACTTTCGCACAATATAAAAAAATTAAATTAATATGTTTGAAAACTTGAAGACCGATATTTTAGCGCGTTTTAGAAAAAATTAATTTTGTTGATTTTTTAAACTGGAAAAGTTCATTAAAAAATAGAAAAATTATTATAATTTTAAAATAAAAATATTTTTATATAAAAGAAATTGTAATTAAAAAAGTTTTGTAAATTTATTAAAATAATTATGTTTCGTCTACAGTTCGTCGAGTTGTATATAATAAGCAGTTTCTTTTTTTTTATACTTACATTTTTGGGATATGATAAAGATTGATAATTTATTACAGCTGTAATCGTTACTTTATAATGTTAGAATTGAGAATTATCTAAATGTTGATATATTATGATATAATACGATTATATCGTTTACTTCCCTCGTTACAGCAGCACAAAAGTCGAATTACAAGGCCGCGGAGGACCTCTTTGACTCTCCGTCGTGGTCGGAAACGGGAAACTTTATCGATAGTTTCGCATTCCCCGCCATTAAACGCGGCTTTCGCATTCAACTGAATCCCGAAGTATCTCGCTAATGGGTACACCCAGGCTT